GAAAGTCTATAATGGTATATATGCACCCTCTTTTGATATGGCATAATATTTCTTATGCTATCTTATAATCCTTATATAAGTTAATTACAGCTTATATCTTATCTGAATGGCTTATTATTCAATATATATTTTATTTAAATATTTTATTCTTTACTAACAACAATACATAATATTAATACATTATGATAGGAGCAAAAGTATCACTACCTTATCAAATCACAACAACTGATAGATGTACTGTGGGTATTCATCTCCTTGTGCTCTTTCTTCCCCTGCTTCACGAGTTCGTCCCAGTACTTACGTTCCTCTACAAACAGCGAACGCCATTGTTGTGAGATCGTTTTGGAGAGGTCAGCTTGACGCTGATGTCGTGCTACCAGGTCGCCTTCTGCAGGTAGTGCGGCCTCCGCCTCGTTCTTTTTCAAACAGCATTCACGACGGAAGACGATGAATGCGTTCTTGCGTCGTTTGATGTGGTCTTCGTCACCAAGACTTGGTCGTCGCTCGGTCCCTGCAAGTTGAATTGCGTGTGCCTGTCGGTTGTAAGGTTGTACGTGTTGTGCGGGTTGAGGTTGCGCTTGTGAGAGAAGTTGTGAGACTGTCTGGCTAAGGGTGTGAGTGTGAGTGTTAGCATTGGCGTGAGTGGCTAACTAGAGCGAGGAGATGGATGTATCGCGATGGCGTGTAGGGAGTGTGAGCGGTACAGCGGGGTCGTGATCTGGAACGTTGAACGAGCTGATTTGGGCTGCAGGCAAAGCCGTGTCTGTACGTGCGCGTTGCATGCTCTAACTACTGAAACGATCGGCATCACGCTAAAAACCGTACATCACATGCAGACAATCACAGCAATCAATTCCAAACACCCACGTGACTCATAGAAGCCTACTCTGAGAACACCCAACTATTCTACATTGTAAGCATTTGCAAACAGAACCACAAGAGTGTACAGTCTTAGAATTGGCTTACACACATTGTTTTCTCTACAGGATGTATGGATCACATACTTATTACAGGCTCAGAACACAAGTTGTGTCACAGTAAGTGGCTCAGTAAACCATTACATCATCATTGCCCAGATCAAAGTACTATAATCTTCCAATCAGATAGGACATCAGGGCAATCAAAGTGTTGATCTCAGGAGACTGCCAGAAATCTTAGAACTCTCTACACTTTGTCTGTACTAATCAGATGATAACAGTATGAGAACCTTCTACTTCTCTCAATGTAAATCTTACTTTTCCCTTTTGCATAACATTTCCTGTAGCTAGAATGTAGACTACTTAAAATTTTCCTCATACATTTTCACCCTATTTTCTTCCAACCTCTAGCAAAAGGTTCTCTTATTTGTTCTTGTATATTTTGTTATTTTTCTTTTGTTCAGTCATAACATTTCCCTGTTAGTACTACACTTTTCCAGAACTCAGAAAACTATAAATACAGTTACTCATGTACTAGATACAGAGGGAATTCAGATAGTTCACCTATTGATTTAGCTCTTGTCTCTTATCTCAAAGTCCTCTAGCATGAGGCATAGTTTTAGTCTTTGTTGTTTCCTGTATCAGATTGTTTGTTGTGTACTTTACAAAGTACACTTTCTGTTATTCACATTACTCTTCCAAGGTTGCAACTGTGTTAGAAGAACTCACACCCATTCAGAACCACTCTAGTCTCCTAAGACTTGTAGTTTAGCTCTCCCTCAAACTTAACAAATCACCTGTGATCTTCTCTTAGACACTTTACAGGAGTTTCATCTAGAGCCTACTGTAAGGAGGGTTTCTATAGTTAAACAACACAAGTTCTAACAGTTCTCAGCATTCTGAACAGGTTTCTCAGACACTAGCCTGTAGCCTTAGGTTAACTCAGTCACAGTCAGCACCAGTACCTGTATTGAGCAGAACACACAAATCTGCTAGAATCCAATTGTACTGTGAAATGTCTGATAGTCTGAACACTAGAAGTACAGAATCCAATATTGTAGAAACCTTAAGAACACTATCAGAACAGTAGAGTGCTTGAGTCAGTAACAAAGAGGAGGAAGAAGAAGACATTATAGCATCATTACTCAATCCCCAAGTAATTAGTTTCTGAGTTTGTAACAAACTACTGTATTTTACATTCCTAGAATTGTATACAATAGTACCAGCTACACTACAACTTTCCTAAACTGTCTCAGCATTACAACTGACTGTAACTGGAACACTGTGTTGTAGAAGAGTACAGTTGTCTCTACAGGAAATGGAGACAGTCTAGCAGCCAGTATTATTACTCTTACTAGTAACCAGCATATTGTTAGCAACACAGCTCTAGTTACAGTAACAACAACTTGTAAGTGACACACAACTACTTTAGCAACTACAAGTAAATGTACAAATTCTATTACAACCAAGACCAACAGTACAGCTAATGGCTACATTGAACATTCTGAAGCTACCTTGTTGTAGAGCACATAATGTACTGTCCTTTGACAGAACCAAGCCCTAAGAGTTGTAGAGGTATTTTGTGGATGTGGAAAGTCTTACAAACAAATACAACATAGCTGGAGCAGATATCATTCTGCTCACAATAAAGTATGTGCCTGTAGAAGTGGAGGATTTGTAGGATAATACAGATAAAACATCTTGGGATACATTTAAGACAGGAGTAATTACATATTACCTAAGTCTCAAGACAGGAGCACAATATACTAGAAGTGACTTGGATACTGTAGTACAGAAATAGGCAGAGAGAGGAATTACAAATAGGGACAATTTGGGAATGTACTACCAAGAGTTTACACTCATAGCAACCTATTTGACAACTAATAATAAGCTGTCACTAGAGGAATCTTGCTGTGTTTTTCTATATGTGTTCTATAGAGTAATTACAGAAAAGCTGACATAGAAGTTAGAAATCAAGTATCTGAACTATGAGGACAGACTTGCATACAATATCACACAAGTTGTAGCTGTAGCAGGGTTGATCCTTAGGGGATCTACACTCACAGTAGTTAGTAGATTGGATATGCTTGTGAGTCAGCCTGTGATTCTAGTCAAACAGGAAGAAGTTAATTTGACAAGTATTGTAGAAGTGCTTCAGAGTCTACAATTGTAAGTAGAGTCAATAAAGTAAGGCCTAAGATCAGGAGAAGGAGGATACAGTAGAGGTTCAGGTAGAGGATCAGAAAACAGAAGTTGTGTGTTTTGTAAAGAATCTGAACATTTTATACACAGTTGCTCAAAAGTATCAGAATACATTACAAACAGGAAGTGTGTGTAGAGCCCAGACAATAAAATTATTATAGCTAACAGAAACACCATTTCTAGGATAGGGCAGACCTTGAAGGAAAAGGTTGATAGCCACTTTCTGTTGTTACAAATGTACTCTGTTAGTTTTGTACAGGCTACACCAGTTGTAGTACATAGTCTAGGAGCTCCTGTACTAGTTACAATAGTAGAGGTTGATAAAGAAGAAGAGGAGGAGGTGGAGAACCTTGCAGAGCTTGAAAGGCTTAAAGTAATGTTAGGAGAAGCCTGTAAGAAGGTTGTAGAACAATCAAAAGTAAAGAATGTGAAGGGGAAGGGAAAGTAAGAGTGTGATTACAAAGTAGCAAAACCTACAGATATCAGACTAGTGTCAGCAAGTACACAGTAAGACACAACTAGAATGAAGGAGTACCCATACTACTATATCACACCAATTGAGAACCCAGAAATAGCTGGAAGAGTTTTAGATTACAGCTTGGACCAGGAAGTACATATTACACAGTAGGAGTTACTTACATTGTCTCTAGAGCTTTGGAAGAAGACTCACAAATTAGTAACATTAAGGTACTGAATGGATAGAAACACTACATTCTACAGTAGAGAACTGCCTGTTGTAGGATTGAACAATAGTGTACTACAGTAGTATTACAACATGTTAGCAGAAGTTAACCATTTACTTCTACTCTGTATACTCAAGACAATAGTAGACAGAAAAATTGAGGTAGATTGTGTACTAGACCAGGGATCAAGTGTAAACATAGTTCAAGCTGATGTATAGGAAGTATTAAAGATTCTGTTGGATTACAATATGGCTGTTACACTTGAAACAGTAGATGCTAGTCAGGGATCAACTGTAGGACAGATTCTGAGGTTGTGACTCTCTATAGGAATGCTTTATGTAGATATTATAATACAAGTTGTGTAGAAAGCTCTGTTCAGGATCTTACTAGGTAGACTGTTCTTTACAACTATAGAATGTGAAACCAAAGATTTCACAAATGGGGAGCAGTACATAATGCTTTAGGACCCAAATAATCTGTCAAGGAGGTAGTCTCTGTCCACTAGAGTGAGGGCACTGTAATACAAGCTAGAGACAGATTTTTGAGAAGTGTTAAGGAACTGGAAACACTACAATTCTAGGGAGATGTACATATGATAAGCAGATTGGGAACAAACAATCAGAAGAGTAATAGTAAAGCAATCATTCTATACAGAGGAAGAGACAAAGGAAGTAGGGTAAATGTGATACAGGATTCTAGTCAAGGATCATGAGTCATAGAATCATGGATGATAGAGGCAGCAGAGTCACAGAAGTCAGTAATTCTTAATACACTGGATGACAAACTCAACACAGTTTCATAAGCTTACAAGAAAGTTGCAAATAAGGTGTGCCCTATACTCAGAGTACTTCTAGAGGAGTTCTGTATAGTCAGACAATAGCACCCTAATCCTCTAGCCAGAATGCCTATATTACTGACAATACTACAGCCCTTTGTGTCTACCAGCCAACTTACAGAAGAATGAATGCAAGTAATTAGAGAATTGCAATTAGGATTCTTATGGCCAGAAGAATGGAAACTTGCAGAAAACCTATTAATACTACAGTCAGAAGTGTTTGTGTGGACAGAAGAGGAGTGAGGAACATTGGACCCTACATACTTTGACCCTATTCGAATTCCAACTGTAAAGCATGTACCATGGGTAGAGAAAAGTATTCTGATTGTATGTAGAATTGAGAAGAGGGTGATTGAGTTGCTGAAGGAGAAGTTGTGTAACAGAGCAATAGAACTGTCAAATTCCTCCTATTAATCATAATGGTTTTGTATTACAAAGAAAGACAGAGTATCCTTGTGATTTATTATTAATTTGCAGAGGTTAAACACAGTTACAATAAAGGATGCAGCTGTTCTGCCAAACATGGAACTAATTGTAGAAAGCTGTAGAGGTTGTGCATACTATACACAACTCAATTTGCATATTGTGTTTAATCAGAGGAGTTTGGATGAGCAGTCTAGAGATCTGACAATGTTCTAGACACCTCTAGGGACGTTTTGCTTGACAGTATTACTAATGGGTTACACTAACTCAGTACAGATTCTGTATAATGACTT